ATTTCTCTGAGTCGGAGCCGAAATTTCAATGAGTCAAGCAAAACTTTTCTAAGTCGAATTTTTTCTAAGAAAATGTTGAAGGACCTTAGCTAATAAAACAAATATCTTAAACCTCTCCTACTACATAAAATTGGGAGAGATATTTCACTAATTTTTCTTTTTTTTAGCTAATAAACTGACTTATTAACCAATGCTGAATGAGGTCTAAGCGAAAATGGTTGATTATCGAAGCGTGCTGAATCATGTTCTCTGCCTCAGGCAATCCAATTCCATGATCATGCTTTCAATCAGAAGCATCCAAGTCATATGAAGTATAGTTAAATTCATTTCATCTTTCCTGGTTTGGGGTTTGAGCAATTTAGCTCTTTATGTTTCGAATAAGTTACAAAGTTTCTATACGATTTTAGGCTAAAATGTTACTCTTAATTTTTTTATTTGAATTAACGGAAAGTGTATTACACATATCATTTTTCAGAGTGAGTTTAATTTTTTTTAAAATAAAGTGAAATTAATACAATAAAAAAATAATTTTATCCCCATTTTCTCCAAACTTAAAATTAAATTAATATGTTAATTAAAATAATAATTAAATAAATAATAATTAAGAATTGATCTAAAATATAATTAAATTAAAATTAGATTGATTGACATGTTAGGAATTACAAACTAATTAAGAATTTAGAATTAATTGTATCTAAAATTAGATTAAAAAGTTAGGAATTATGATAAATAATTAAATATTTATGATTAATTGTGATCTAAAATATTATTAAATTAAAATTAGAATAAAAGGTTAAGAATTACAATAAATAATTAAGAATTTATAATTAAGGGGAATGCACCAATAAATCCCGAATTTGTATCTTGTGGCCCATTTGGTCCTATTAATTTTCTTATAAACCGTTAGGTCCTACCCCAATGTTAATGACCAAATTAATCGTGTTACATCGCATGTGGGAAGTTATAATCAGGACAAATCTGAGATTTCACAATGTGTAATTTACGCTTATACCCAAAGCTTGAAATGAAAAAACCAGGGATTACAGATCAACATCAGGCCATGATCAGCATCATCAACATTATACACGTATTTCCATGATCAACATTATACATGTATTTCCAAGATCAACATCATTAACATCAGGCCATGATCAACATCATCAACATTATTTCCATGATCAACATCAGCGAAGTAACGCCGTGATCAACATCAGCGACATCAGACATCATCAACATCAGGGCTATGATCAACATCATCAACATTGGTTCCATCATCAACATCAGCAATATCAACGCTATGCTCAACATCATCAACATCAGAGCAGATCCACACCGATCCATCATCAACATCAGTGGTAGACATCATCAACATGGCGGATGGGTGAGGATCATTTTTGCAATGGTGGATGGGTCTACTCCGACGTCTTCTTCGGCGCCTCTGTGTATATCAGATCAGCGCCGCATCTATCTCAGATCTGTCGGATCTTCGATGATCTTGATCGGGTTTTCAGAAAACATGGATGCAATCGGCGTTGATGTTAGATTCCGGCAAACTCTTTGGGGTTTCGGCTGTCGGAATCTGAGTTTGAAAATGGAGATTGCATCGCCGACGGAGAGAGAACATGAAGGAGGAGAAGAGAACAATGAAATAATGTTAATCAATAATAATGAAATAATGTTAATCAATGAAATAATGTTAAACAATCATGAAAAGGGCATTGGTGTAAAAACAAATGTAATCAAATCACATCCTAAAAATCAGGTAATAAATTAGGACTAAATGGTGTACAAGAAAACTTAAAGGACTAAATGGTTTAACTTTTATCAAGATAGGATTTATGGGTAATTTTCCCTATAATTTAATTGTGATTTAATTAAATTAATGTTAAACATTATAAATTATGTGTATGAGAGATGAGAGAGAAAAAAATTAATAACAAAATTATAGGATTTAAGGATATTACAGTCATTTCACATCTATAGTTAACGATATTAATGGTTACATAGGAATTTTCTAACTGTATTGGAACCATAGGGAGTACAGTGTCTTGGCCTCAAATCACAAAGGAGTAAATTGAATTTTACCCTATAAAGTATTTGATACATGTATATATACTGTATAAAACAAAGGCTCGAGTTGATGTTGACACAAAATGTCACTGATTGCAAAGATATCAATCTCATAATTTTATAATTGAAATTTTAAATACGATTTTCTTACTTTGTGAAGTCATTATGATAAAATTTATTTATAAGATTGCAAAATACCTTTAATTTTGAAAGATCTATCGTTGAAAGTAAAATTTACTACACAACAATTACTCATACAATTTTAGAAGAGACTTTGGGAAGAAAGTCTTTCATTCATATTTCAAATGATCAAAACTATATATAAAACTCTAAAATCAAACCTCTAACATTACCAACATTGAAACCTACTTGGAGTGTCTTTAATCATTCATCAAATCTTTCGTTAGATTTGAGTAAAAATTTGATAAAAGTTTGACCTCATATGATGCAATCTAATGGTGAATTAAGATTTTCATCAAACCTAGCCGATTATCTGGCCTAGAGTAAATTTTCGGTTTACAAGCAAGTTGGTCAACCAAAATCTGGTCATCTAGCCAGTCGTCCACCAATAACTACCTACAAAATTTGATACAAGGACAAATACTTCCTTAACTTGATGAAAAATATACATTTCCCTTAATTTGATATCAATTTAATGAAATGGTTAGAACACCGTTTTTACCAAATTTTCATCAAATTTTAATTTGATGAAAGATACAAGTGTGCATTGGAGATGGCTTTACTTGAATTTGTAATTACCAATCTAATAACACACCACTAATATCATCCATTAACACACCTCTAATAACAATTATTTCTCTACAACTTGCAAAATAAACACCTACTAATAACCATTACATGCATGAAAAACATAACTCAAAAAATAAGAAAAAAGAAAACTAATTTATTTGTAAACACCTATTACTATGCTTAGGATATACCAAGTAAATATTTGGAGGTCTCTTCAAGTTACATCATCAAGATTGCAAATATTCCTCCTCTTCTTCTTCTTCTTCTTCTTCATCGAACTTAATGAAACATTCCACATTCTTAATTGGCATTTCTCTCAGTGACGTTTTAGGATATAGAAAAATGAGGATCATAGTGAGTTTTCGAACAGACTAGAAATTGCCTATTGAAATTCTAAGATATACGAGAATGAGCATCATCAAAGGATGAGGTTTCCACTTAACTATCAATTGCTTGTTGAAATTCCTGTTCTGAGTCATGTCCACGATCCTGCATTGCAGGACTAAGATTTTTAAAAATATGCGAGGGTCCTTGGCTCTCAGTAAATGGTCATATTATATTTGAGTCTTCAGGCATGGTAGAAATTATAGCATCGCTTACTGAGACTGGAGCCATACTCATTGGTGCCAACTGGAGCATTAATTCCTTCAAACAATCATTTCCTGCTAAAGGATGACATTCTATATCTATTGAAGATAGAACCCTACTCTTTGGTGCCAACTGAAGCTCTAATTTCTCCAAACAATCATCACTTACTGAACTCGATGATGCCAAGTAGAGCTGTAAATTCTCCAAACCAGAACTCCGTGCTAACTGGAGCTCTAATCTCTCCAAATCTCCTGCTCCTACTGAAGGATGACATTCTATATCTCCTGAAGCTGGAGCCATACTCATTGGTGCCCATTGGAGACCTAATTCCTCCAAACCATCATCTCCTGTTAAAGGACAACATTCTATTTCTCTTGAAGCTGAAACCGTACTCATTGGTTCGACAAGCAAATCTCTTTCCTCCAAACAATAATCGCCTACTGCAAGATGACATTCTACATCTCTTGACCTTACCACACTCTCTCCTAGCATTCCTTTCATTGGTGTTTCTGGCTGTACTGTAGAAAAATGATCGTAATCGAACCAAGAATCCCATGGTTCATTAGCCATACTCGCTCCTACTAGGTGGAGATCTAAATTCAGGCTTTGATGACAAGCCTCCACTGTTGTTGGATTGGGACATGGATTTCTGAAATCATGTGAGGTCCCCTCATTCTCAATCACCATCTCCCCCTGTGGTTCTTCAGGCTGTGCAGAAATAGCGAGAGCACTAGGTTCAATAGATGAAACTGTTAGACAGACTGTCCTCTCCTCAGCTCCTTGGATAGATTCATTTTCCATTGGTGTTTCTGGCTGTACTGTAGAAACATTATCACAATCAAAATAATCCAATGGTTCATTAGTCATTCTCGTTCCTGCCAAGTGGAGATCTAAATTCAAGTCCTGATGACAAGTCTCCGGTGTTATTGGATTCGGACATAGATTTCTGAAATCATGTGAGGTCCCCTCGTTCTCAATCACCATCTCCCCCTGTGGTTCTTCAGGCTGTGCAGAAATAGCAAGAGCACTAGGTTCGACAGATGCAACTGTTGGACGGGTTGCCCTATCCTCAGCTCTTTGGACAGATTCATTTTCCTGGTTCCGCTGAGTGAGGGGACCATTTCTTTTCACCTTCTTTGGCCACTTTGGGATTCCACACTCCCTACACTTGCGCTTAAATGTAGATATGCTGACTGCAAATGCAAAGATTTAGATAAGAAAATTACTCTCTGCTTTTGGTACTGCAAGTTCTAAACTGTCTTCTCTATGACGATAGACAAAAAGAGCAAAGCAATAGTTTTAGAGTTCGTGAGCTTATCGTCACACATTTTTGCAACATCTTTGAGTGGCATTTTCGAAAATTGTAAAAGGTAATCACGGGTAAATTGGTTTCCAGTTCCTCTCTCTTGTTCCATTGATGTCCTTACAAAACCCTTGCTCTCAGAATAAATAACATCATCACCATTGTTTTGTTCAGGACCAACAACATTCCTTTCACTGTTCATGGCATCAACTTCCACCATTAATTGTTGATTCGTTGTATCTGGCTGCACCGTCTTTCCCACATTTGGCCAAACTAGCGTAAGTGTAGATATAGTAATTCGGCATATTTGAGATCAATGCCATAGTCTCCTATCCTTCAAAACTTCAATCGATAATTCCTGTCCCAGTTCTTCTCCAGAAGCAACCTTAAAACTTCGGAAATGCTGTTTCATTGTGGCCAATATGGAATACAACAAGGTCCTTAGAACCGGATCACTTTCTATATTTCGAGGCAGAAAAAATTCTATTACATAATCTACATCTCCAGTATAAGTACTTCTCAAGCAAATTGCAAAACTGCTAGTTAGCCTGTATGCGCATGCAAAGTGCACTAATGGGTACTCAGTTTTGCTAAATTGAGTCACATCCTCGCAGAAACATGGACTATAGGACCGTAATGCACTCCCAACAACACTGTGCCCCGTTCGTATGTAATAGTCAGAACAAGAATTGACAAAACCCTGGTTATACACATCAGAAGCATAGAATGTTTCCATACAAACAATTGTGTTCACGACTTGTCCCTTACAGCTGACATAGCGCTTATTGCAACTGCCATCCAATTCCGCATCTCTACCACAACTGCATGGAACCCAGGCCAGACTCAAAAGTAATTTATGAGTTTCACAAACCACTTTCATCCCCTTTGATAATTCTACCAGCACCTGATTGTGAGCTTTGTAATCCACCTAGTTTAATATATAGTATTTGTGAGAGTAGAGTATTGGTAAATTTACATTTACCCAAAAAATATTTAAATTTTAAAAAATGTTCGAGACTTGTATTGCAGTTGCAACTTACCGGTGTGACAAGATGGCCATATGTATCTGACTTTTCCAGACCTACATCCTGTAGGAGAACCGACATGATGTAACCATAGCTGATCAAATGGCTCAATAGAAAGGGGAAAAAATTATAAAGAAACGAATAGTATATGAATACTAGCAGTGGTGGAAACAGTCCTGCCAGGAGGGAGACCCATAACATAATTGGAAGGGCCATAGGTGTAAATTTCTCAAATGTCGGGGCTGTTAAAGGTGTGCTACAGTGAAAAACAGAAATAAAATTTGAGGGCCACGACCCTTCAGATTTTCTCTAGCACTTTCTTTTTTCAGCTATTATCTAGCATTTAATCCAAACGTCATAATTCAATAGCTAGTCATTGTGGGCTTTGGATTAAGTGTTGGAAGAAGAAAGTGCTGGAGCGGATCTTCTCCTATCTATAATAGGAATGACAAACCTGAAGCTCTGCATTGACTTTGTTAACTATATACAGAGCGTTGAAGAACACTCTAGTAAACAGTAGTTCGAGTACACCAACACAGCGACTGGAAGAAGGATAAATCACTGGAAAAGCCATAGATGTCTGAACAGCTGATTTTATAGCATCATCGCGCTGCGGGTACTTTTCATATGTGTAATACATGACATATGGAGTAAATGCTAGCTCATTTTGCCGGAAAACATGGCCCAGTACCCCGGGGTCATCTGCACTTTTGGCATCCACATAAAATTTATACTCCATACATTTCATTCTAAAGTTACAAAGTGCTTCAGTTTCATAAAGGCCAAAAGGTTGATCCGTAGTGGTAAGCACACATCTGTCTCCATCTGTTCTGGGTGCCCATAACTGAAGTAGAACACCAGATTTTAAATGGCCAAAGTCAGTTGTTAACTTCTCAATAACAGATCTAATCTTGACTGTAACTTTTCCATTGGCGATCAGTGTTTCGGGTACTGAATTGGGAACGCCACCTACATGTATTGAAAGTTTCCTGAGTCAAAGCTAATGCTTGAATCTCTCTGAATAATTTCCAGATAAGCTACTCGGTCATTTAGCATAAATAGAGAAAATTGTTCTAAGAAAAAAACATGCATTTGTATGTTTTTTTTGGGGGAAAAATTACATGTCAGTGGTTCTTATATAAAATAATTACAGATTCATGAATTACAACTTTAATTTTAATCTTCATAAAGTTTACCATTTATTTGAAATTATTTTTAAAAGTGTAGACTTTGGTATTTATGTTCCTAGACTTACTGAAGTGGAAAATGACTCCAACGTTTATTTTATGAATTTTTTTTTTTTGTTTCATTCAAAAATCAAAAGATCCAAGCGTAGGTTAAGAGAAACACCCCCCCCCAAAAAAAAAATTAGAAAAATGGAAAATAGGGCAAATAATTACAAAAACATTAGGACTAAAAAATAATTACAAAGGAGTGGAATCCATCATTGCAATAATAAATACGCTCCTCCTCCGTCTCTCTCTCTCTCTCTCTCTCTCTCTCTCTTTGTCATAGTCATTCCTCCTCGACCATCCACCATTCCCCCAGCCTTCCCAATCAAGTAGCCCCTCCCCCCTCACCAGCTCCACTCGTACCCTCCCCAACCCTCCTTGCCCTTCCCCACCCTTCCCACTCTCTGTAGCCCATCTCTAATCCTTTGATTATTCTCTCCAATACCTCATCTCTCTATTACTCGTGATCTCTCTTTGGATTTTGAAAGGGTTTTTGAAAGGTAAGACGTCGTGAAAGGGGGGATCATAGGCCTAGTTGCGGTGGTGGGGAGCTGTCCAGGGTAACATAATAGCTTAAGGTTTTCAAATGGAAAAGATGGGAAGGATGGTGGTGGAGGTGGCGTGAAATGGTGGGGAATACATGGGGTGGCCATGAGTAGCTACAAGTAGTCGTGGATGGTGATGGTGGTGGCCATGGATGGTGGCACTGATTAGGGTTCTGCGCGAGCGCACACACACACAGATAAGGATGGCGAGGAAGCGTGGGGAGGGGCGGAGACGAGCAAGGGGTGTGGGTGTGTGAAAGAGAGAAAATGATAGGCAAAATGAGCAAGGATCCTCTAGAGTTTTTTTTTTCTAAAGTTTCTTAGAGTGGTATATTGTGTGGTTGAGATTTAATGATAAGTTACATCAATTTTTTAATATTAAATCTCAACTACACAATATACCACTTTAAGAAAAAAAACACTCTAGAGAATCCTTGGTGAGGCAAAATAGTAAAATAAATCACACTTTTATGGAGAATTCTATTACGACATTTTTTTTCTTTAATTATAAACAAAATTCTTTTTTAGTCATGGCATTATTTTGAGATTTTGATTGTAACTTTTTATGTTTGATTAGAATTTTATTTATTTATTTTAATTATGATTCAAAAAATATGAAATTAAATTATTTTTTTTATAATTATAAGATATATATGATACACACTTTTGAAAAGTGTGTCTTCTATAGTACTTTTCTACGTTTACAACTAATTTTTAACTTTCTCCACCCTTATGCATTTGAAAGGGGGACGTGCTATCATACACCACCAAAATAGAGCATATGGTATGCACCCAAAATTTCAACCACAACAGTTTATAACTACCATCGATTTAGATCATAACTAAGGCCAAATACTTCAGTTTGCATTTAGTTTGTGTTTGTAGAGTAGTTTTTGAGATAAAAAGTATAAAAATTTGTTTGGTTTATCTTTTTTCAGAAATTGTTTTAGAAAATTGTTTTGAAGAGAACGTTTTAAAAAAAAGTGATTGATTTGATGTGTTTGAGAGAGAGTGATTTTGAAAAGTAGGTAACCAAACAAAATTTTAATATTTTTTTTAAAAAAAATTTGTTTGATTCGATTATTCTTGAAAATTTATTTATAAAAAATTTTTCTCAAAAATTTTTCTGAAAAACAAACCAAACAAGACCATTTAAAAAACACATCCCAAAGTCTCGATATGAAGGCCATTTAAGCCCATAACCAATACAACAAAACCACATATTCTAGTTCACCACAAATTTGACCGCCACAAACCCTCATACTAAGCCTATAAACTGTCAGATTAGGATCCAATTAGGTAGAATCCAATCCAATCCAATTAATCACTAATCTGAATGTGAATACACTAAATCTGATAACAAATAATATGATCCGAATCCGTTCTATGTGGATTCTGATCCGTAAATCCGATCTGATCTAGTTTGCTCTTTCCTTTTTCTTTTTTGCAAAGCCTTGAAAAAAATATCTTCCATTCACGAATTACCATGAATAACTTTCCTAGAAAATGAAATACAGCAGCATGTTGCCAGCAAAAACTACATCAGCATGAGTATCTCCAAATCAAATTGAATCAATCGAATGTGCAGCAATAAATTAAACTCTATTTGTCCTCAGAAAATGGTATCACATTGAACAAAGAGGTAATTGTGCAATAATTTTCAAATCCATGTTGTCTTATTAAAATATGAGATCTATAATTAAAAAAACAAAATCAATTATGAGATCTATAATTAAAAAAACAAAATCAAGTAAATTTGAAAGAGTTATTAATTATCCAATTTACATGAATATGTACACTCACTGTATGAATTACCAAAGCAAAATCTCAATCAATGAAATAGTATAAACAGATTGGATATATAATAAGATCGGATATATAATAAGATCGGATCAGATTTATTCGAATCCAAGTTCGTTTAAAATTGGATTTGGCATATTTAGGTTGCGTTTGGTAGAGTTTTGTAAATATTATTTGAGAGTATGAGTTGTATTTTGAGTTTATGAGTTTTGAAATTATGATTTGAGTGTGAAAAATTTGTTTTGTGAAAGAGTTTTGAATTGAGTGGAGAATTTTTAATGTGACATATGATATTTGATACAAAAACTTACAACTCATAACCAAACATACAACTTAAAATTCTATTAAAGCACATAAAAAAAATTTAAAAATTCAAAAAATATTTTTTTCGAATATATAAAAATTAACATATGTCAATTGCCAAAAAAAAAAAAAATTGCACTGTTCCGATCAACCGGCTAGACGACCGGTGGGACGACCGGTTAAGCCAAATTTAAAAAAAAAAAAAAATTTGAAAATTACGCCTCAGACAGAGTTTTGTAAATGTTGTAGAAATGTAATTTAAGTATGGTATCCAAACATCATGCTGGAATAAGGGGGTAGAAATATAGTTTGGAAATCATTCCAAACTATGAGTTTGAAATAAATGGGTCAGATATCTTATATTGGATTTGGGTAAAACAAAATCCACAAAGCCTGTCTCATACCACATGATGGATTCCTAACAAAAATGAAAATCATAATTAGGGATATTAAACAAACTCCAAGTGAGAGGTGATGAGGTCCCATGACCCCATCAAGCTATTAAAAACTTTTGAAAAACAATTATTTACAATGCTAATATTTTATTTAATATAGCTTAATTATATTAAAAAATTAAGGGACCTCATCAAATAAGGACCAAAACTATTAGAGACCTACTGTTTAAAAGTTTAAATCACTCTGTTTACTAAATAGTTTTTAAAAATATTTTCTAATTTTTTACTTTTTGTGTTTTGTGAACTTTTAAAATATTTTAAGCAAATTATTTTACTTTTTAATTCCACTTAATCTGAATAAATTTTAAAAAATAAAATATTTGTGAAAAATTATTTTAAAAATTCACTAAATACAAAAAGGATAATTAAGTTAATAATAAATTAAAATTCAGGCCCCATAACAATTTTATATAACCTTTAGACTTATGTTTTATTTTTATATTGTCTTCCGGCTAAATTGATTTGATAAAATTAAAAAAAAAAAAGTGTTAAACTTTAGGGATTATAATTATAATTTATCCATACAAAAAAATATAAATTTTCTTAGATTTTTTTTTGCAAGGGTAAATTACAAATACACCCCCTAAGGCTTGTTTAAAATATGAATTGCCCCTTGTAGTTTAGAAAATTATAAATACCTCCCTGTCAGAATTTTTATTTAACATAATTAATTGAAAAAGTGAAATATCTAACTGTTCACTTATACAATAAAAAAATTATCTGAATTATTAATTGAAATAAAATTTTAACATTATTGAAAACTGTTAATTAACTTGATGATTTATTAATAAAATGACCTATTTGTTATGAAATTAGAAACTTTAGGGGTCATAATGTAATTTCTAAAACAACAGGGATAATTTATAATTTAAGTAATCCTTAGGGGTGTGTTTATAATTTATCTCTTTTACAAATATTTTATTTTTAGGTATAAAGTGCATGTAAAAAAGTGACTAAAATATGGGGAAAAAATTCCTAAAGACAAGAAAACACAAAATTTAAAAACTTTTCAAAACCAAAAAGAGTGAATGTTGTTTAATTTAATTTATTTCTCTTATAAAATTTGTGAAACTTAAATTTGTAAAGTGACCTCATTTATAAACATTCCGGAGTCGTCATTTGTGTATACAATAAAACTTTCCTGATTAAAGTTTATTCCCCATATTATTGTAATTTTTTCCCATAAACTTTTATTTTATTTTGTGTGTAATTTACTAATTTCCCCAGTAAACTATCAACAACATACATTTCTTTTTATTTATTTACTATTTATTTTCATAAATTCAATATTTGAGCTTCCCAGAACAGAAAGAAATAACTTACCTGAGGAATGAGTCGGAGAACTTTCAGATTCCAGGGCATCCTCACTCCAGAAAACACTAGAATTCATCGGCTCCAGGCGACGCCAGGTTAGTTTTGTCGACTTAACATAGTTCTTGAAAGAGTGAGGAAAATCATCAAAATCATTATGATCCTCCATGACGAAGTAACCACCGTATACCCCCACCCCGTGTGGTCCTCCATTTGTATATAGATACTTGCTTACATCTCCCCGTAGACTTTTTCTCCCGCGCCGTCTTATGCTTGCTTTCGCTTAAAAGGTTCAAAGTGTATTTTAGGTGATATTTGACTCATAAGATTAATATTGAAAGCATTAATAATCTCATTAAATAAGTGTGATATTTATTATTTAATTGAATTAGTAAGATAAATTATCTTCTTATTCATTATTTAATTTATATTGTATAAGAAAATATATAAATGTAGAATTACAATTATATTTATCTTCTTTTTCAACTTTATCCTCCATCAATGTTTCTTCACCATCTTTACTTTATCAAAATTTTTTCATAAATGTGACTTTAAAAAAAATTATAAATAAATAAATAAACCAAAATAAAAATACAAAATACAAAGGTGATGTTTGGTTTGTTTTTTAATTTTTTTTTTAAATATAAACTAATTTGATAAGATAACTATCAAAAAATATTTTTAAATTTTTAAAATTTATTTTTTGTGAGAACCCGTATTTTTGCATATTAAATTATTTTGGTAATTATATTTAGCTACTTAAATTTTGTAATCAACATCCATAATCACCGTTCAAAAAAAAAAAAAAACATCCATAATCCAATTCCATAACAACATTTTGTGACGAAATTCTATAATTAACTTTTAATTATTTAATTAATGCAATTTTTATCTTCATAGTATTATTATTATTGTTGTTGTCGTCATCGTTGTTGTCGTCACTTTTGTGTAGTCTAATTCTTAATATATATTATTCTGTATAATTGTTTTGTATAAAGTTTTACATTAATAATTTGTGTACAAGAAAATTAATCCATGGAGATCAATTGGTTCAATCTCAAATCCTTTAGTTACACATAATAATATTATAATATTAAGTCAATTAATAGTGATTATTAAACTATTAAATTATAATGATAATAGCATCATGATTAATACCAATATCAAACTCCTTTACATAAATTTATTTATGTGATTAAATTTTTATATCTAAATACAGTTGTGGAAGCTAAATGAGGTAAACAAATAATAACTAAGTTAGTTAGAGAATAGTAGGGAGCAAAATATAGTGACTAGGTTATATATATTCATTGATTTTTATTTTTGTACATAAAAAAAAAATTGAAATCAGAATTGAATTTTTGGGCAGAAGAATTCGGCCCCTCCTTCCCAAGGAAGGAGGCTGTTGGGCAAGCATGCTTCCAACCACACCCTAACCTATGCATTGTAGGTAATATTCTCAAGTCAGGAGGAATAAAAATAAAAATAAAATAAAATAAAAATAGGCTTCCAAACTCCTACATAAGGACCCCATCTTCAGCCACCTTCAGCTGAGCAGAAAAAAAACAAGAGAGAAAGAGTATAAAAGAAAAGAAAAAGAGAGGAAGATGAGAGGGTACTTGGTGATCACCATTTCAAAACTAGTTTTGAGAATTGTTTGTAAAAGCTTTTGAGGTAAGAAGACTCAACCCCTATCCTCCCTTAGATATTTTTTTTAAGTGAATCTATATATAAAAAATATGCAAGAGTGTGCATTGTTAATACACACATAGTAATAATAGCTCAATGCATGTTTACATTTTGAAAGAATGATAATCTTATGATTATATGATTTCTATCCTTCTTGCAAGTATAGATTAGATGGTTTAGCTACTGATTTTCCTTCTTATGTGCTCAAATATTCTCAATTGTTTGAAATAATCTTGCATGCTTATGAATTTGTGTTCACTCTTCATAAATATTTATTTTCATCTATTCCCTATTCCCACTAATGAAAGTAAATATGAAGGATTAGAGTTTCACATGGGAATAGTAGTAAGAAATAATTTTTATAGTCTTGCGTGTGATTTACGGTAAATACAAAGTGTGTTTTTTACAAAATAATAAACTTCCAGCAAAACAGATTTTTAATCCGTTTTGAATAAACCCAAACAAACTCATGAGAACACTTTCATAAAATCTGAAACTACTGGAGTTAGTTTAACATGTTTTCATGGTGCTAGAATATCGAAAAAATTATTTGACAACGTTTCGTGGCCAAAACATATTTTTAACTTCATTGTTGTTTGGAGATAGCAACAATGCTGACTTTACCAGGTCACCGTTTATTCTACAGAATTAATTTTCAAGTGATTCAAATTGGAAAAGTTATATTTTTAAGTTACCTTTCAAATGCCACTGGTTTTGTAATTTTTTTATTAAGCATTGAGAGAGAAACGCCAATTTTTTCAAAATGTAACAGAATCTGTCCAGTTTTCTTAGAAAAATTATTTGACCATCTTTCATTAGTTTTCAACCTTTAAACTCCTTTGGAAATATGTTCTAAACTCAAATATCTAGCAAGAAGTTCTGACCATACCTCTTTTTGACACCGTTCGAAGCCGCTTTATATTTTTCAAACACAGATCACCTGTGTTGGACGTTACTGTAACTTACTATGCCAGAAAAACCAGTTTTCTCTAATTTTTATTTTTCCATTTTAAAATCGTTTTTAGCCCTGGTATTCTGCTCGAAATATTTTCCTAACTCGATGAACTAGCACCAATTAAAATATTGTAATGGTTGAACTTCGTTTGGTATGGGTTTCATATTTTTTTGTCTGACCATACAGTGCTGAAAGAAGAAGTGTGTGAATTCTTAAGAAATTTTGTGATGATTTCTAAGACATTCTATCATATTTATTTTGGTTGCCATACATGATTGTGTTGTGCCATATGAACATTATGTTACTGTGGTTTTCAAACTAAAACTCGCACATGCATCAAAATGTGAATTCGACGAAGTGAAGAAACACGAAATTGAACCGATGATACATTAAAATTTAAAAGTGATGGGGTGAGCCCGATTTAGAATCTTGCGCAAGTGACTTGCGAACCCAAACATGGCACGGGAAAATATTTCAGCTCTTATCGGTATAGGCGATATAAGGTTGGTGGGGCGGGTGTCACAACATAGACTGTTCCTTTGGGGCAGATCGTGATGTCACGACTTGGGTACGTAACCCTGGTGCGTGAGCATCATTGGTAGTTACAGCAAGTAACATTTGAATATTTGACCAAGTGGGAGTCAGAATTGCCCATGGCCATTGCTTAACAGTTGAGTGGAAATAGTGTTCCGCGGGGAGTTACTTAAACTTATCCGATAAACTAAATCTATGTGAATTTAAAAGAAAAGTTGGCATCTTTCCTTATGATGAAATACTGTTTCCGCTTGCCATTGTTCTTATTATCTATTGTTATTACTTCAACTGATAGCATTCTTGTTATGCTTATTAAATGTTGTTTGTTATTCTGTTACTACACAGTATTCATTAATTGTGAGTATGATTATCAGGGTGGGTATTTTCGGGTTGTAGTATCTTATTGAGCTCGTTGCTCATTGGCATTCCCGTTGCCCTGGCGTTTCATGCCAGGTACCGAAGAAACTGAAGGAAATACCGATGTGTTGGAAGGCAACATTCAGCCCTGATTAGCTTAAAGCGTGCCAAAGTTCCATGAATCCTTTTTCTAAGTTTCCTAGTTTTTTTTTTTTTTTCATATACTAAGACTAAGTCTTGAGTTTTATTGGAGTTGTAATTTAAGAACTTTTAATTCATGTATTGTTAATTAATGGATGATGGTAAACTTAGTGGCAACATTGATGAGGAGTTCTTAATTAAGAAAATTGGTTTTAAGTTCTAAACCTTATTATGATGTCAGGTTTAACCTCAATTAAGGAGTAGTGTCATGTGATAGAAGTAATAGAGTTATGTGACTCATAGTTTATGTGAGCTTTACGCTAATCATAGTAACTATCCTTGTTTGATCCTATCTGTAGCTCTAGCTTGACGCAAAATTTGTCGAATGTAAAATCATCACTTCTATATCTTGATTGAACCTTTCCAATTCGGAAAAGTATTGTGTTAGGATGATTAATTGGCAAATTTTGAGCCTTGATTATTGTATCTTGTATGTTGTTCTCTTGAAAACTAGTTGCACTCTTTTAATCCTTACAAGGTGAAGAATCTTAGGTATTTGGTTTGAAATTTGTATGGCCAAACGCAATTTGAATTCAAATATCTAGTTTGGTCACCAGCTCCTTAATCTTAACCCTATTAAAAGTTCAAAACCATTACGTCATCCGACTGTACCATCTGTTCAAATTCCATTTGAATTCTTATGCTAATTATGCTATTGTCATAGCTATGTCATACTCTTTCTTCTCTACTACAACTGTGTGAATATTGGGTTTAGAGCTTGAACGATTAGAAACACCTATGAGTGTAGCTTCACCGTTAGGAGGTCAAACTCGAGTAGATCTCGTATGCAAATCATGTGAACTAGAAGTCTCCAGTTTGCGTTTAACTTGCGACCTACGAGTCATGGAAATGTCAAACTTTGACGTTGTCCTAGGAATGGACTAGTTATCAGCCCATAGAGCCACCATTGATTGCTATCGAAAGACGATGACTGCCTACTCTTATGACGGAACACGATTCCAATTTAAGGGGGATAGACGAGATTCCCTATCATTGACACTTAAAAAGTCAAAGTGGCCAGATCACCTAGCTAGGTGGCTAGCCAGCTTAGTTCTGGAAAACAAGGATCGTATGGAACTAGGGCTACCTCGTGTGGTGTGCGAGTATGCTGATGTATTCCTAGAGAAGTTACCAGGACTATTCCCAAAGTGAGAAGTAGACTTTACCATTGAACTATAGCCTAGTACATCACCGATCTCAATGGCACCACATCGTATGGCACTAGCTTAATTAAGAGAGCTAAAGACACAATTGCAAGAATTATTGGACAAGGAATTTATAAGGCCAAGCACATCCCCGTGGGGAGCAGCAACCTTATTTGCTAAAAAGAAAGATGACACACTTAGGTTGTGCATTGATTATTGACAACACAATAGAGTCACCATTAAGAATCGGTATCTACTACCTAGGATTGATGACCTCTTCGATCGGCTTAGAAAGGAAAAGTATTTCTCAAAGATAGACCTCAAGTCTGGGTATCACCAGTTGTGTATTCGGGAAGAAGATATTCTTAAGACTGCATTTTGAACCCCA